TAAATATGCGTATATTATGATTTGATTGCTCCACTCTTAAGTATTTACTCAGGAGAGATAAAAACACAACTTACACACTCATGCCCATGATAATCTTTATTTGTAGCAGTTCCGTGTTAGAAAAAAATGCAGATGTCCATCAATGATTGAATGAATGAACAAAATCTAGTATAGCCCCACACTAGAGCATTGCTTAGATATAATATACAATATGGTGAACTGTTGATGATACCCCAAAACACTCAATGTAAATAATCATATTTTAATGCCAGCACTTGGGAGGCAGAGGCTGGTGGATCTCTGTGAGTCCAAGGCCAACCTGGTCTGCATAGCAAGTTCCAGACCAGTTGGGGTTACAGGGAGACCCTGTCTCAAAAAGACCAAATAAAAAGTGAAAGAAATAAGATTAAAAATAATCTGTAGTACCTAAGTATGTAGAAAATATAAGCTAATCGTTGACTAAGCATGCCAGGATGTGGGGTGGGGTGGGGTGGTAAGTACGGGATGAACAAAGCAAAAGGAGTCTAGGAAACTTGTGAATGAGTGCTATGTGCATTGTCTTGACTGTAGTCACAATGTCATGCGATGAGGGCTATGTGTATGGTGGTTTGAGAACTTTTTTTTTTTGTAAGCCTTGGTCATTGTGTTTTATAACAGCGATAGAAAAATAACTAATAGAGGTGTTTGCACCAGAGAGTAGACTGTTGCTTTGAAGAACCTGACCATATAAGTTTTTGGAGAAATATGAAAGACTGGGATATTGAACTAGAAAAGCAGTTGAATGCTATAAGCCAAGCTTAATGCGCCATTCTAGTAGAATCCTGGAAGAAAGTAATTTGCAAAGCAAGATATTGCCAGAGGGAAATAAGAACTTAAACATCAGCTGGGATATTTTGGACTGCCTTCCTCCACAGCCCAAAAGCTTGAGGTTGCCTGAGGCTAAGATGAAAGGATTAATCTCTTTGGTAAAGAAAATTTCAAGACAGCCTTAGGTAGAATTGGTGGCATGGCTATTAGTGATGAATATTATGTAAAATACAGTGAAAAAGAGAAAACATGGCAGAAAGAAGTAGAGAATGTACTGTTTGGAGAGATACAGAACACTATGAAATTTAATGACATTGGAGTCAAGGGGAGAGGTTCTCTTTGATAAGGAGATTAGAGCCATAAAGGAGAAGCCTCTAGATTGCACTGGACAATGGAAAGAGTACCTCAGTGCAAGACTACCCAGCTCAGCTTTGTGAAAGGAAAAGGCCTAAGGAGTTTCCTAGTCCTAGAAAACCACAATATACAAAAGCTGCAAATGTAGCTGAAGATGCTAAGATTCATCCATAGGTGGCAGAGGAACTTGGCAGTGCCACTCATGTGGTGCTGACTTTAGAGAAATGAAAGATGAAAGAGTGAGGGATCACTGTTTCCTCTGTAGTGTCAGAGAGCCACAGAGTCCAGGCAGTGTGTATATAAGAGTTCCTGCCTAAAGAAGGCATTGGGAAACCAAGAATCCCTGAAAGGTCATTGTGTGAAACTGTGAAGGTGAAGCCTGGTTGGCAGTGGAGACCTCATGATGTTGGAGATGCCAGAACCATGAGACAACCGTGAAGGAGAATAGTACACAGAAAGTAGAACTAGCCCAAGGCAGAGATACAGGCAGCAAAGCTGAAGGGACTGAGCCACCTAAGCCATTTGGAAGTAAAGTCCCAGACATCGGACTTGGAGTTACTAGATTTCATGTTTTCCCTGCTGATTTCTGGTTTTGCTTTGGTCTAGTATTTCTTCACTATGCCCCCATTCCTCCATTTTATAATGCAAATGTTTTATGTTTGAAGTATGTGATTTGTCTTTTGATATTGTAGAGGCTTATAGTTAAGAGAATGCTTTGAGTCTCTTTGGACTCTGGACCTGTGGATATTGTCAGGACTTAAAGACTTTGGGGACTTAAAGTTGAACTAAATAAAACTTGCATTGTGATTTGGTCATGAGCCTATGGGGGCCAGGGAGTGGACTTGGTTCACAGTTCATGGTACTATTTGGGGAGGGTCAAGGAACCTTTTAAGAGATATGGTTGTGCTGAAGGAAGCAAGTCACTAGGGGCGGGTTTTGAGAGTTCAGAGTTATACCCCACTTCCGTCTGACTCTCTTTGCTTCCTGTGTCTGCTTGAAGATGGGAGTGCTCAGCTTTCTGCTCAGGCCATGTCCTGCAGCCATGCCTCCCTGCCATGATGGACTCTGACCCTCTGGAACTGTAAGCCAAATACATCTTCTATAAATTGCTTTGGGCAACAGAAAAGAAACTACTACAATGTGTACTGTCTTGACTTTAGTCACAGTATCACATGTAAATAAGGGCTACATGCATTGTTTGACTCTAGTCACAGAATCACATGTGAATGAGGCTATGTGTATTGTCTTGACTGTAGTCACAGTATCACAAGCACAAGTATATAAATATTTGAAGATTTAAATTTTTACCAATAAGCCTGATTTTTTTCAGGAAAATGTTTGTGGTGCTTGTAATTATACTCAATGATATTTATTGAGGATCTATATATCAATATAAATATATAACAATATTTATTGAGCACCAAGCATTGTGATTGACCCAGTTCTGTTCCACTCAGTCTTATTACAAATAAGTATATTGCAGATGCCCTACAGCAGATTGATAGCAGGTTCCTTTTCGATTTTTATTACTTGTTATTTTTAGTGTGTACATGATGTGTATATGGGCACATGAGCCACAGCATATGTGTGGGGGTCACAGGACAACTTTGTTGGGTCAATTCTGTTTTTATACCTTTATGTGGAGTCCCAGGATTTAACTCAGGTTGTAAGGGTTGTACACCTAACATCTTTACCTGCTGAGCCACCTTGATGACCCAGTAGCTACACTGTAACATTTATTTGCTGAAATTTTCTATGTATTACTTGTTTAATAAGGAACTGGGAATTAGAAAGTTGGTGAGATACACTGTAGAATTTGCCTCACTAATTTGTCATTTATTTGCAAGCTGTATTCCTTTCCTATTGATGTAGTAAAGAATCGTCACAAATTTAGTGCCTAAAAGTGATACATATTTACTGTCATACAGTATGTCCTAAAATCAAGTTGTCAGCACTCCTTTTGAAGTTTCTAGGGGAAAAAATCAATTTTATTATGTGTTTTTTTGTTGTTGTTAGCCTCTATGGGGCACTAGAATTCCCTGACCTGAGTCCTTAAATCACTCTGCTGACATTTTCACATCTGTTGTCCAACTCTGGTTTCCTGTCTCCCTGTTCTATGGATCATTGTGATTACATTGATCCCACCTGACCAATAAAACAAAACAAATGTCCTTACCTTAACTGAGTCTTCAAAGTCTCTTTGTCCAGGGAAGGTAACATATTCACAGGTTTTGACGATTAGGAATTACGTGCTGTGGGGCCCTTGTCTCTGATAGCAGGAACATGAATTTTTGTCTTTAAATCACTGGTTTTTGTTGCACAGCTATTGAGACA